ATGTTTTGTTTAAACTCCTGCTCTGTCTGATTTTTTAACCAATTATCTGTTGGAAAAGTATTCTGTTGTTTTTGTTTTTGAGCAAACTTATCAGGACTGTTTTTGTAATAAAAAGGGGTTGGTTTTCCCAGCCTACTGTTAAAGAGGGGTTTGTTTTTGTGACGCAACAAAGACGGACGTAGGCTGGGACAGAACACCCCCAGTCCCCCCAATGGTTCGCAGAGAGAGTAAAAATCTGCCAAGTAAATATGCAGATTTCGCTGATATGTTCGGGGAGGAGGAAGCCTTGTACCTCCCTCCACACAGAGACTATGATTGTGCCATAAACTTAGTCCCTGGTGCCAAAATTCTCGCCAAGAGACAATACCAAATGTCTGCTACAGAATTAGAAACTTTAAAACAATATTTGGACTATAATTTGAACAAGGGATTCCTAAGACCCTCCCAGTCTCCTGCCTCAGCTCCCACCTTCTTTGTTCCCAAGAAGAAGACCCCAGTGGGCCTAATGGTGAGAACTCCCCCCCCCACTGAGAGTCATCCATGATTACAAGGCTTTAAACACAGTCACAGTAAGAGACCATTATCCACTGCCATTAATTCAGACCTATTAGATCAGGGGTGTCAAACTGCTGGTTCACGGGCCGGATACGTCACGCCGAAACCGCGCCCATCCCATTGCCGGCAATGGGGAAAAAGTTGTGATACATCACGACACGTCACGTGACGTCACGAGTTTGACACCCCTGTATTAGATAGACTGCAGAAAGCAAGCATTTTTACAAGACTAGACCTCCGGAATGCTTATACAGTAACCATATTCACATAAAAGAAGACCATGAACTGTCTTTGACACCAGATATGGCAAATTTGAATACACAGTGCTGCCTTTTGGTCTGTGTAATGCCCCAGCCATATTTTCCAATTCATGAACCAAATTTTTCAAGATTTAATAGATAAATTAGTGATCTTATATTTGGCTGATATCGTAACCTACTCTGAGAATGAGCCTCAGCACACAGACCATGTGCGCACAGTCCTCAGTAGACTAAGAGACAACCACCTCTTTGCCAAGCCAGAAAAATGTGCCTTTGATTTGCGACAACTAGATCTCTTGGGCTACCATATTTACACAACAGGCATCCAGATGGACCCCCCAGAAGGTCCAAGCTGTACTTGACTGGCAAGCCCCTTGCACAGCCAAAGATGCCCAATGCTGCCTGGACTTTGCTAACTTCTACAGGAAATTTATACCAGGTTATGCTCATAAAGCCAAACCACTGACCCAAGGAGTTAAATTTGCTTGGACACCTAAACACCAATCAGCATTTAAAGAGTTAAAGCAACTTTTTGCTTGTCAGCACCTGCTTCAGCACCCAGACACATCAAAGTGATTTATTGTCCGAACAGATGCTTCAGATGTAGCCATTGGAGCTGTTCTGTTACAGGAGAGAGGGGGAGACAACAGCCTTCTACCATGCACCTTCTTTTCCAGAGCACTGATGGCTCCAGAACACAATCATGACATCTTTAATAAGGAACTCCTTGCTCTTAAATCAGCATTCCAGCACTGGAGACACTTCCTAGAAGGCATATGCTTTCTTATAGAGGTCAACACTGACCACAAAAATCTACACATCCTGCAACAAATCAAGCTGCTTTCACCCAGACAAGTCAGATGGAGCCAATTCTTCCCACTTTTTAATTTTTACGTTAAGTATGTCCCAGGCTCCAAGAACCTATTGCCAGATGCGATCTCTTGCAAACCAGAATATTTCAACAGATTCCAGAACCAACAACAATCCTGCAACTGTCCAATTTCCAGCTTCACTGAGAGGTTGGGAGCTGCCCAACTGCACCAAGACTTAATCACCGGGATAAAGGACCAGCAACAACGAGATCACTTCTCATGGGCCAGGATAGATGACCTCAAGGAGACCACAGCAGGTACTGTAACCCCGTTCACAATGGGGGTGCCCTGAAACACAGAGGCAGAATAGTAGTCCCCCCCATGCAGGGATGAGGTACTGCAGCTTTGCCATGATAATCAAACGGCAATGCATGGAGGCATGTCCAAAACCCTGCATAGAACCTTAAGAGACTTTTGGTGGCCTAGGATGGCTGCAGACATCAGGGAATATGTGGCCTCTTGCCACACATGCAAGAGGGCCAAACCATTCCATCAAAAGCAGGCAGGACATTTACAACCACTACCTATGCCCCCCCCCACCTTTGGCATATGGTCTCTCTGGATTTCATTACTGATTTACCCTCTGTCCACGGCTTCACTACCATATTAGTGGTGGTAGATCTTTTCACCAAGATGGCCCATTTCATACCCTGAAAGGGATTGCCCAATGCCAAAGACACAGCCCAATTTTTTCTACACCACATCTTTCGGTACCATGGCATGGTCTCAACACTCATGTCAGACAGAGGTGCACAATTCCAATCTAGATTTGGGAAATCACTTTTTCAGTTACTAAAGGTCAAAGTCAACCTCTCCTCAGCTCACCACTCAGCCACGAATGGGGAAGATGAGAAGATGAACCAGCTCCTCTAACAGTATTTGAGGTGCTACTGCACCTACAGCCTACACCTACCTACCTACCCCTACAGCCAAGACAACTGGCCGTTGTTACTGCCAGTAGCAGAATTTTCTTACAATAATTCGCTGCACTCATTGACTTCAATGACACCATTTCAAGCCATACACAATGTTAAACATATTCCACTTTAGGAAGCCATATACCTCCTTAAATTTATACACTAGCTTTTCAGGATCCATCTCCACTGGAGACAGCATATCTTCATTTTCAGCCAGTTCAAAAATCTCAATGGCCATGTCATTGTTGGGGAACATGGGGCTCATCTCTTCATCTTCATCTGTAGCATATTCTCCTGTCTGCAAATAACAAAAACAGGTTATATCATTAGACATTCTGATGTTCATCTTGAAGGAAATAAAAAGTTATTCTTTTAATAATTGTAGAAATAATTGTAGTAATGCCATTATACGACACTGTCTCTCTAGTACAAATGTAACACTGTAACGCAAATGTAACAAGGTAATGTCAAAAGGAAACAGGAATGTTTACTGTTTCCTGCCCATGTAAAAGTGACTACAAATGGTAATCAACAAGGATTTCCTGCCTAAAAATTCTCCGGACACAGGATGACCAAATGTTTACTAACTTACACTTTGAGTAGAAATCCT